CTGATTCAAAGCCCATCGAAAACACCAGGAGTTTTTTATTGATTTTAATAGGTTTGGGCTTAACTTCTGCTGCCACATGGACATCATCATTTGTATTTTATAGAACATTTGCCCTGCAGAACAGCTATCTGAATCCTCAGCATAGGTTTCTGAGACAAGAAGACATATTAAAAATAAGCAAGATTTTTTTTTTTTCTCAAAAAGTGATCAGGAAAAATAGCAATTCAAATGTTCATTAGCGATACAACCAAATCTCTCCTATGGTTTTCTCCTTCTTTCTTGTTTCTCCCCTTGGTCTTGTTTTTTTTCCCCTCCTCATTTTGTTTTCAAGCTACAGGAAGTGTTAGCATAGACCATTTTAGATTAGACACAGCATTCGATGGGTGAGCACCTCCCTACAGCATATTTCAAAGAATATTATCACTATGAAGAGGACTCAAACCTGCAAACCTGATCAGTAGTTTATATTTCCTAATATTGAATAATTCACCTCCCGAAGAACATTAAAAATAATAACCTAGCATACAAGGAATTCATCTCCTTACAGCAGCAGAAGAAATGCCCCAGCTGAAGTGTCAAATTCAGCAAGAGCTCTTTTCAACAAGCATTTTTTCCTGTTACACACATCATAATTGTGTGTGTGAGTGCCTGCAGCAGTGTGGTCTCCTGGTAGGTGAGTCAGCTGAAGGAAGCTGAAACTTTATTTCTGGAGTCACTAAGGTAATTTGTCAAGGGTAGCAGCCATGTTGGCATCTCCACTGGCTCTGTGGTGGGATCTTCATCTCAGGTGGGAAGACAGTTCTCCTCAGCTGTCGGTCTGATCACTTCTCAGCATTTGCCCATTGTTTGTCAGTCTTTTTTTGACATGTGTAAACCATTTTCTTTTCTATCCACCTGTACTCGTATCTCTCTTCTTTTTATTGCTCCTATGATGACGATACAAAGAAATGATGAGCTCTTCAAGTGACCATGTATTTTAATCTTTTGACATGAGGTGATGTTTACATTGTGTTCTGTTCACCATAACAGGGAAGAAACAGACCCTTTAAAAAGTGATTTACAAACCCTTCAATGTGACATTTTCATATCAGAGAACCACTGGTTCTGACAAATGAGCCAACACATCTGAGCATTGGTACATACTGTTTTTTTAATATTTTTTTGCTTCCAGTCATTCATTCCTTTGGTTTAATCTCTGTATATCTTCCTCTTACTTTTAAGTACTTTATTCCTGTGAAAAAGATAATGATATTTATTACCTATTACCTTCTAGAAGTCTAAATTTTATTCCAACAAGCTAACAAAGATGGCAATAGGCCACTCAAAATTAGATATCATCTCTGCCCATTGGAAAAAAAATGCACAATTTGCACAGAAAAAGGGACCTAGACAGAATGACAGCATTGAATGCTGTCTCCTTCAGAGACAACTAAATTCTCTCGCTTTTCTGATTTGCAATTACCTGTGAAAGGGCTTTGCCATCAAGAGGCCTACCAGTAGCCAAATCCAGGCTCCAGCACATCTTGCTCACTGCTGGATTTCTGTGAGCCAGAGCATGGTGCAGATGCAGCACTTGTAATGCTGGTCAATGGCCTCTTCCAGGTCACCTCCATCCAGCCCCACCCTGCAGGAAGTCTCCAGGGTGTACAGGTCTTCTTCAAGAGGCTCTAGGGTGAGGACAAATGGCAGGATTTGGCTACCTTAGACTGAACGCAATGCATGAGTGGTGGCAATCACCGAATCTTTCTGGAATATGCAGCATAAAAATTCAGCCTCATCTCCCAATTCTTGATACCTGTCTAATACCTGTCATCACTTGATGCCATCTTGATTTAGACTCCCAGATGCTTCTGAATAATCCCATGTTCAAGACAGCTAAAATTTCATCTTCATTTTGTAGCTGCTGAGAAAATTGCAACCCTGTAATAATCTGCAAGCTGGACTTCTGGACACAGTGTCAGAACATCTTTAGCATTAACAATTCATCCAGTAGCTGCAATTTGTTGTAGGTGTACTTGTACGCTGGGAAAAAACTTCCTTCAGCACAAAGTTGACTTGCTCAGTTCTCTCATTGCTGAGTACAGCCACACCAAACCAGTCACCAACATATGCAAAGTCCAACTCCAGGTATCCAGATAGGAAAGTCCTTCTTGAACAGGCCATTCCTTTCTGTCCGTGACAGCACCTGGCTTTAACATTTGCATCCTCTTGGAGCAGCAATGTTATTACCAGTAGGAGGAAATCTCCAGGACTAGACTAAATCATCCTCCTTGCTACATAAGAGGCAGGAACAACTGCAGGGTTTGCAGGTGGAAACCAAAGGCAAATTTAATTTATTCAACTCAGCATTCCTTTACTAGCATTTGGGCATATACCATAATTTCTCATTACATATTCCAAAGCTTAGTCCTATGAGTGAGGGAAGGAGGAGGACAGACAGTCTTTTTTTCCTGAGGCTGCTATTCCTCTTGCCATATCATGGGGAGGCTTTCCTGGACCTGGTGTCACAGGCTCTCCCATCAGCAGCCTCTGCAATGACACTGGTGACAGCTTCCTCTCCCATCTCCAGAGCCACAGGGAATGAGGCGCTGCTTGATGGGGTTCCCACAGGAGGACTTTGTGATGTGAATGATCTATTGTGAAAACTGAAAACCAGTGCAAAGCTAAAAGGAGCTTGGTGCTTCCTCCCCAAGGTCAAGAAGAAAAGCTTCCAACTTGTCATCTGCATGTTTTTGCTCTGCCTTGTGTGGACAGAGTAGTCTTATTTGTCTTGCTTCAAGGCTCCCAAGAGAGGCCAAAACTAAATTACAACAGATTTTTACATTTCAGCAAGGACATGTTGTGGTCTTTCAAGGAAAAGAAGAAACAATGCTGCTGTTCACACTTTGAGCTGCCACTGGAGCAACATGGCAATGTCTTTTTCACAAACCAGCCTGTCTTTACTTGCTAACTGGACCAGTGCTCTCACATGAAATCATACAGCTTGTGTGTCATGCTTTGTGAAGCTTGCACAACTATCCCATCTTGTCACCTGGAACAAGCACTCCATGGTTCCTCTGCATGGGGTCCTCTACTTTCTGCCACTTTATGAGACTTCTAATGCCATGCAGGCAGAAATTTGAGGAAAAATCCCAGATCATACTTTAGAAATATTTTGTTTGCAACTCCAGGGTCAGATGCCTACTGCTAGCTGAGCATTTTGAGCTACAAAAGTGGTAGACATTGCTTAGAGGGCTTATGTTCTTAAACAATTTTCAGATAACTATTATGGTGCTGAATTAATTTTTGCAATGCTTTCTGTTTTCCACTTGATTCCCATATGACCACCCTTACAAGAGTTAAAGGGCGATCTTCTAATAGTGAGGTCAAAATCTAATAATATGGTCAAATCTTCTAATAGTCCCAGCTCTGAAATATTGGTGTACAATCAATTAGAGCTATCAAACATCTGGAAATCTGAGATAAACCTTAAAATTTATTTGGGCATAATTTCTAAGAGGAAAGTGTCTGCAGAAATCTATCTGTATGAATCCTCATTCTTCCTAGCTTGTCTAATCTTCTAATAAAAAATATTGTGAGCCAGACTTTGCTAAAATTTTCATTTTCAAATTTCCAGTCCTAGTAGAAGACCTATCTAGATGCTGACTTCTCAGGAGTGGGTTGAAGCATTTAAAGCTGTTCCTGATGAAGCAGCAAAGCTTGGCACCCATGATGGAGGGTAGAACAGGCTGGAGGGACGCCAGCAGGAGTGCACAGAAGGGAACAGGACAGTACTGCCGCCCAGGCACACTGCTGAGTTGACTTGCACTGAGGCAAGAGAAGGTAGCAACAACCCCAAACTGGGAGCATGCTGGCAGACTGCCTTCCTCCCCAAGTGCTGGAAAGGTGGATGTGATTAAGCCAACTGTCCTGTCCATTAAGCTCACTGGTACTGTACCTGCTGAGTGAAGGCGAGCCTGAGCTACAACTCTGGGGTTCTCAGATATGATAGATTTGTTTAGCTTGTCACAGGAATGGAAGCTAATGTTAAAATTTGTAGTGTACTGGTCTCTGCAAGCATTACATTTTTCAGCTTGTGATTTCCAATAAAAATATCCTCTTTTTGTTCGTTTGGGGGGTTTTTTTTGTATGTTTTTGGTTTGGTTTTTTTTTTTTTTTTGTAATAGCTAAGAACACTTGGACACTGGCATTGGAAAGGAGAGAGAATTATCCTGTAGCAGGAGCCAATAATGAATGATCAATTTTTCCTTTGGAGAGGAGAGAACAGAGGGTAGGGAGAGAGGGGAGGAAGCGCTAAACGTTCAATTAATCAAATGAACTAGCAGGTTCAGCTTTGGGGGAGTGCTTTATATGTCATATTACCATGCAATTAAATGGCAGTATGATGTTACAGTTTACATCAAATTCCACTTAATTTCCTGCAAGCTCTCATGATGAGAACGCAGGAGAAAGCTGATTCTGTTGATCTCTCTTGCTCTAACCTACTGGACAGCTCTTCAGCAGACAAATGACTGTTTTCCTTAGGATAGTTACATGAGTGTCATTTGGACTTAAACACTGTGAGGGAATGATTTGCTCGTGTAAATGGCTTCACTGCATGCCTCCTGAGGCATATTTAGGATGTCATCTTAGTGAATGCACAGTGTGTATAGCATACTGTGTGACGTTAAATTTTTGTTGTTTTTTTTTTTCTTTCAGTATTGCCAAAATCCATGATGAGGACTAATATTTTTCCCAGTGCAGAAATGAGTCACTTTTTAAAGTGGTTGAAAACTAAAGATTGCTATGATATGTGCGTGCGTGTGTGTGTGTAATTAGTACTGCAGTCTTAAACAGGGTCACTTTGCCACCTTGTATCAGTCTTCAATCACTAGCCCACCCTTCATCTAAGAACCAATTCTTACAATCCTATTCGCCTGAAGTATAAACAATCAACAGAGCTGTGTGAATGAAGAGAGTTAAACTAACACAGGAATGCATTGCAAAGTAGGTATGTAGCTAATTGTATTCTTAAATGCTCAAGGCTTTAATGAAATTCTTGGTTGTTGGCCAGTTACTACAATGCTGAAGTATTGTTATTTCATATTCCTCTCATTATAAGGAACTTGACTGGGTTTGCTAGCCTTAAATTACAAAGTGTGTAGTTCTTCAGTTGTCTTAGCATCTGCAGTTTCTGTGGTGCACCACCAGCATCAGACTTGAAAGGAGTGTAACCTGGAGAAAGGAAGGAGTGCAGCAGGTCAGGACTGAGCTGAGAAGAGCTGTGACAAAGACTACTCAAGATACACTGACACCATGTTAGCTTCTACTTACTGATATTAATTTGTAATTTTCATGAGCACTATGATCAAATAAATTCACAAAAACATAATCCAGATTGCTGGAGCAGAGAAACACTGAACACAGGGCTGCTCTAACATCCTGTGTATTATTGGCCCAGAGCCACTGCCAGCTGCAATGTTTTTCTGTTAGAGAGATGAAATTGCTGCTCCTGAATGCACACAAATGTTTAAACAACCAACACAACATTAGGCAATAGATATAAGGATATAGAAATAAACCAGCCTTTTGGTGATATATCTTGTTGAGAGAGCAATAGCCTAGTAAATCCCACCTGACTTTTAGGAGAGCCTTAGCCCTAATGCTGGCCTCTGTCAATACATTTGTGTATAGATTTGATAGCAATCCTAACAGCTTAGGTCTTGGTTTTCCTTTCACTCAGCTATTATTAACACAGCACATATTTGACATGACTGACCCACTTATTCTGAGACCTGACAAATAAAAATTCTCTTTTATTTACGTTGAGTAATAACTATTAATATTTTGCATTTACAGCACCTTCTCTTGAAAACTGAAAGCAATTAATAAATAGAAGTATCAGAGCCCCTTAATACCTCTGAGAGTCAGTGTATTATTTTCCCTATTCAAAACCACAGAAGCTATTGCAGAGAAGGCGTCACATTCAGTGTTATGGCTGAAAGAGAAAGGCAAAGCCTTGAGGACACTTTGAGCCCCTTGAGTGTTTTTGCAACAAAACCACCCAGCAGTAAATGAGAAAGCTGCATGCATCATAAAGAGGATAGTCACACTGAATGAAGTCAGTAGCTGAGGCTCTGAAATACTAAACCATTTTAGAGTCAAACAATTTTTATGAAACCTGTTAATTTGAAATATTTCTGTGAGGCATTTTGAGTCAGATTCAACCTGCTAAATAGAGGGGGAAAGTGCTAACTCGCATTAAGGGAAAGGTCAAAGCTACACTGACTAGCAAGTGTGAGAAATAACCAGGCTGCCTACAGTTCAACCCGAGGAACGCTGATAACTGGACACCTCAGTGCTCCCACTCCGTGTGCCTCAGCAGGCCTCTGCTGACTCGATGCTTCTTGCAGAGGCAAAGATCTTCTTGCACAAAGGCACTTTATGGCACTGAAGTGCTCAGAAGGCTCCCTCTTCCGCACTGTGAGAATGGAGAGAGCTGGGCTGCTATGAAGCTGGGTTTGTACGGTCTCAGTGCCTTGTGATGGGAACTACAGCAATATGTTGCCTAGTAATGATCTTTCTAGGGACTCAAAAGGTTTCATAAATTTTTAATGCTCCAAATTCTTTTTCTGATAGCCTTAATATAGGTTTATGATTTCAGTCCGTGAAACAACAGCTGGTGCATGTTCCCAGTTATTAAGGTTTTACTTTTTTTTTTTTTTAATTTTCAGTAGCATCTCAGTTTTGTGTGAGGTCACTTTTTTAACAAGAGACACATCAACTTTCATCAAACTCAGCTCAGTATTCTGTACTGGCCACAAGACAGGATGATTCAGGTCTTGTGCAAATCAGTTTTAGAGTTCAGAGGGTTTAACTTCCTGAGCTTCCTGTGGAGTGGTTCCTCCTTTACACCAGGGCAGTTCAAGATAAGGATCAGGCTATCAGCATTTACAACTTCTCTTCCCAAGGATCTCTGCATCAGAGTCTACCTCTTCGACATGGGTAGTGAATATATCCATTCTGCTCCACTGCCAGGCATTCATTTCCTTTAATATAATTTTTAAGGCAGTTAAGTGGAAAGAGATTTTTTTTCTTTTATCTTTAATCTCTCTTAAAGCCCTATCACCACTTTTAATTACTGTTGTTTAATTTTTGAGGACAAAAAATTTGTGAGGCTTGTTGAGCTGCTTAAGTCTCTCATTAATCACTCCAAGTTTAGCCTGTTTTGTGTCAGTTGCAAGCCTAATGCAGAAGAGGGCAGCAGAGGCAGGGACTGTGCATCTACCCATTTGTTCCTTTGTGGCATGCTTGTGTTCTTCCCTGAATTTTTTTCTCTTTTGTCTTGTGTCATGGACACATTGGCACCATAGGTCTGCAGAACCAAGACAGTATTTGAGTCTGCTTGTGGCATGTCAAGACCCCAGTGCCTCCCCCCCCAAACAAGGCCAGCTGTGGTGCCCCTTGCTACCTATGCTCCTCACACTGCCATGGTCATCAGCACAGCTCAGTTACCCTGCCCCTTCTGGGTGGTGAAGGACCCAGTGTGTCTCCTCTTCCATCTCTGAGTGGGACTGGTGATGCTGGGAATGCCTAGTCTGTGCATTGGGGCTGACCCAGCCCAGGCTTTGGTTGTTCCAGCCACCTCATGACCCTGATGGACAGGGGATCAAGTGAGCAAAGTTAGGTACAGTGCCAGAGAACAGAGTACACAGCAAGAGGAGACAAGCACAAGAGTACACAGCAAGAGGAGAGGGTAAAAAAGGGCTTGTCTTCACCCTGCCTGTCTGCAGCAAGGTGTGAAGCAGGTGACAACACTGGGAGAGCATTATCTACAACACAGTAGGTTTGCTCCTGCCTCCTACACATGAGTGGTGACAGCTTGCCCACTGTAGCCAACAGTCTCTGATCATCATGGATACAACCTCCTTCCATCCCCTGAGGAGGAGGAGGAGGATGGATGCTCTGCCACGGGCAATGAAATGCTCATAGAGATGGTTGGTCTGTGGCGTGTTGTCCCATCTGAAGGGCATGGATAGAGGTTCCCTGTCTGCAGCTTTCCCCTTCCCTTACACTTCTTCCTTTCTCCTCTTAAGAAGACTTTATGGAGAGAAATGTATGTGTTTGAGGCAGTTGCTCACTTCTATCAGTGCTTCTTGAAGAGCTCATGATTTCTGGTTATTTATCCGATTTGTGTAAATGAGAATGTACCACTTGAGTTGCATTTGAATGGAGAGAACAAAATAAGTGACATTATGATGTGTTGGACAGCTTTTCCTCTTGAAGACATAATGAGGCCGTTTACTTCTGGATCATTCTTTCCTGAAAACTCTGTTGTAAAATCTCTTACTGCCACCATCAGGACATCAAAATATAAAATACTTTTTTTCTACATAGAACACAGCATCAAATAAGTCAGTACAATCAATAAAAATGTAACTAGAACATAAATCTTTTGAATGTACACAACAATATGTACTGGATTGGAAATTTTAATTGTGTGTCTCTCCAGAGAGATGTCCATGAGGAAAGTGTGTGTGTGTGTGTGTGTGTGTGGCAGGGAGTATGTCTGTAATCTATGCAATAGTCATGTAGTAAATAAAAATCTAAGTAAAATAACTTGCACATATTCATGAACATGAATTAAAGGGGCATCTAATAATAGCACTGTAAAAATATTAAGAATATTTTTGCCTATATTTCAGAACAGGATGTATGGCTCATTGAATACTGTCATTTTTCCACGTAGATACCAACTGCATTCATGAATTCTCAGACAGCTTTTGTGTATAATCTGGAAACCTAAATTCTTAAAACATTCTTTCTGCCACTTTGCAAATTCAATCACTTTTTTCTATGAAATATTCAACTATCTAACACTAAATACAGCCAGGAAGTACCACATCTACATCATTCGACTATCATCAGGAAGTCTTGGTTGAGGCTGGACTGGTCAGGGTGTCAGGAGATGGAAATGATCTTGTTCTAACATGATTTATATTAGCATAGAATTTGGTATTCTCTGTATAGTTTTGTGTAGTAGCAAATAAAGAATAACTAATAAACAATAAATAATAAAGGAATTTTGGAGTATATTGCAACACAACGTACCAGTTGGCTTTTACAACCAAGCATGTCAGGAGAGCATGTGTTCTACCGGCCTATCTGCATTAAATTTTTGTTTACTCTTATTCACTAATAAATTTTATCTCATTTCAAGGGAACACGGTTTGTATGTTTTTAATTAAAATTGTATCAGCCTTAAATTGAACTATCTTCCTTGAAAAACTTAAGCTACCCTCCTTTAATAAAGGTACTTTTCCCCTCAGTAAAGGCACTAGTAGGATTTTTCTTGCCTTCCCAGTTATTTATTTTCATTTAATTATACTGAACATCATTTCTTCATCTCACAGTAGCTATGGGAAGTGTAGTAGCTTGTGACTATTCTCAGGCACACTGAGAGTGGTTTCATTTTATAGGCTCTCACTCCAAACCAAACGAACCTGTCTGCCTGCACCAGCATACTGACCACCTGCTAAACTTCCAGCAAAGAGCTAGAAGTCCAAATTAGAAGAAGGCTGTATTCCTGACACAGCAGAGTAACAGATCTCTAAGTGGGTGTTTGTGACCCTCTAGGGCTGCTCTTTGCAGGAAAGGTACCCAAGTAATCAAAGTACTACTCTCAGCTCTGGAAGACACATACTAAGAGTAAGGCTGCAGGAAACTGCTATTCTCTGCACTGACAGCAATGCAAAATTTTAAGTGGGAACAACCATTCTTGTTTTGTGCTTTCCAGAACCAGAGGCAAAAATGCATCCTTCTTTTATTAAGGCAGTGGATATGTGAATGGTTCCCTCTGCTCTCTTCCCACATTTCAGGTATGTTTGCATATTGTATTACAATTATCTGCAAATGGATTTTATATTCCAATCCTGAATATTTATGGACTCAGACTGGACTGATGTATCAAGATTCTCTTTGTTTCCATACAAAGGCATAGAAGGGCAGTGGAGGAAGGCAAAGGAGAATGTGGGAAAGGTGTGGAAAGACAAGGAAAAAAGCACCTGGAAAGGGCAAAGCGAAATGGAGAGTGTTCCCCACACAAGCCGCCTTTGGCTCATGAATTTACCATGTGTGTAATGTTTCTTATGAGAAGTCATGTGAGCAATTCAAACTAGCCCCTAGGCAAGTCTAATCTGAACAAGCTGCTCTGAGACAAGCTACAAATTGCAGGA